AGAGAGAGAGAGAGAGAGAGAGAGAGAGAGAGAGAATGCTCAGGCAGCAGTGTTGGCCAGTCTCCCTTTCTCAATTTCCCATCTGTTTCCCTCGTTGTTGTGCAGGATGTGAAGGTTGGCGGTGTCCTCTCACTGGAAAAGGAAGCTCTTCCATGGTGGAAATTTATGCGAGACAATGACTCAGCAGAAGCTGATTGTCCAGAGAATGCCAGTGGTCCGGTTGCTGTTGTTGTGTCAGATAAAGTTCCAGGTACTGTCCATCACACCAAAGTCGTCAACCCCTGATCCCTGGAATCTCCCCCGCCCTCATGAATTTTGCTTTCATGCCGCATGCCGCGATCATTATGGAATCGGATAGAACTCTGACGTTTGCATCCGTGTATGATGTGATCTAGAACGGATACCATCGGGCCATCAAGAGAGATGTTAGCCATGTGTTGCCATCAAGTACTTACCTCAGCCAAGGAATTATATGCAGGTGCTTGGTTCAAGTCTGTGCCTCGTCATGTTCTCTCTGGAGCCGTTTCGCGTACTTGGCCATCAAGTCGTGTCCTCTCAGGAGCCGTTTTGCGTACTTGGCCATCAAGTTCTGTCCTCTCCGGAGCCGTTTCGCGTATTTGGCGCCATGCTTTGCTGATATTGAGCAACCTACACCAGCATGCAGGGTGCACCTTCTGCAATGACCTTCCACTCTGGAGCTGTTTCGTGTATGATTTGGAGCCGTTTCGCGTATTTGGGCGCCATGCTCTGCTGATAGTGAGCTGGGATGTTTCCAATGAGGGCATAACAGCCGATATCCGAGAGCTGCAATGCCTTCTCAGAGAGGCCCAGCATAGTGGTCAGCATTACATAGCTGAACCTCATGACCCCTGACCCATTTAGTTATCGTATTGACCGGCCTCTACATGTGCAAGAGGTAGTTTGTGCAGCGAAGTTGCGCATTTTTTTGCGATTACTACCGTCTTCACCCGAATACAAGGTATGGCGATTATTGCTGTATCTAGACTCAAAGTTGCCCCAAATACAGCTATAATGACTGTACGTTGTATTCGGGTGAAGATGGTAGATGTAATCGCATTAGACCCTGACTCTCAAGTACTTTGGGCCATCCATTAAAATTGGAACAATACAGAGAAGACTAGCTAGCATGGCCCCTGCATAAGGATGACGCGCATAAATCGAGAGCCTGACTCTCAAGCAGCCACCCACGTTCGTGGCTGCATAAGGATGACGCGCATAAATCGAGACCCTGACTCTCAACCAGCCACCCACGTTCGTGGTGCGCCTAGGTTTGATAGCTCGATGAACTTTTCGATTTTTTGTTCCATTTAATGAGGAATTTTTAGGTGACCCGCAACCAAATGCGAGGCTCAAGGCCTCGATCTGCCCTACTGGGCCCTATTTTCTGTACAGTCGGCCGCCCTAAGTGAAGGCAGGCTCGACCCAGGGCCTACA